CCTCTATTTCCACGAAAGTAAAAGCCTATTTAAACTGCAGTGTCTCTCTATGCTGGTTTGTGTGTTCTCCAACACAACTCTCACAACGTTTCGCTGAACGTACTCGCTCTCCCAACGGGGAGCTTACCTAACAAAGTTCACTGCCAACAATATGGACTCGTTATCTTCTTGGGATGATAGCCTTCTCAAGCTAGACCATCCAACCAGCCAGTCGGCCAGAGAATTATTGGCTTGATCTCATCCAGGGAGTTTCCTGACTCCATAAAGGTAAAGGTTCCCCTCGCACATATGTGCTAGTTGTTCCTGACTCTAGGGGATGGTGCTCGTCTCCATTTCAAAGCTGAAGAGCCAGCGCTATCCGAACACGTCTCTGGGGTCATGTGGTCGGCATGATTCAATGCCGAAGGCGCGTGGAACGCTGTTACCTTCCCACCAAAGGTGGTCCCTATTTTTCTACTTGCATTTGTTACGTGCTTTCGAACTGCTAGGTTGGCAGGAGCTGGGACAAGTCATGGGAGCTCACTCCATTACGTGGTGCTAGGGGTTCGAACTCCTGACCTTTCTGATCGACAAGCTCAGCGTCGTAGCCACTGAGCCAGCGCGTCCCTGACTCCATGGGGGAAATCTAAAAACTCCAAATCCAGTTCATTTCTCTAATCACCACGTCGTCTTCTGAAGTAGCAGTTCCGCTTCAAGAATACGTCTATCTAATCGGCAGCCTTTTTTTAAAACCACAATGCGCTGGCAGGATCTCGTGAAGCTTAAGAGATGCCCCAAGAGATGATCATTTTCAAGGCCTGGCCTTGGTACGACTGGCCTCTTGGCTCACAGGGATCTCTGGAGAAGACGGCTGGCTTCCCATACCGCCAACAATCAGAACTGGCGGAGTTCTTCTCCGAGAGATCTCCTGGCTCTTGGAGAAAGAGTAGATCTGGCAGAGTGTGGAGGTATTGGAAACGCAGCTGACTTATTTACATGGACATCGCCGCCAAATCTGCCTCGTTGCCAGGCAATCCCTTTGATCAAGCGACTTCTTTTGTCCACAAGGTAGAACTGTTCCTTCCAAGCGCTCTTCAGATGTCGGTGGAAGGCAGAGGTGCCGCGCTGTGCAAAAGGCGGGTTTAGCATCCTTTTCGACGTTAATGCACAACTCACAAAGGCCATCGGGAGATGGGAGCTTTGCGATTCTCAACAGAGTCCTGGCCCTGGGAAAAATTACATCACCCAAATCCTCCCTCCAAACAAGAGTCAGATTAAATTTGAATGCCAAGTTGGGCTGGCTCAGGNGACTTGCGTGCTTCAAATGCCAGAGTTTCTGAGCCAACATTTTGGTTGCTAAGCAAGAGCGTTGTTAAGTGAGTTTCACCACATTTTACAAGCTGCAGCCTCCTTTGCTCTCGTTCCTGCTGATAGCATTTCCTTCACACATGCGTGCACGTGCGCGAGAGAGGGCGTGTGTACACATACAGGGAGCCACCCTGTCTCCATTCCCAGAGAATGAAGAGCGGTTTCCTCCCCCCTCCCTCCCACCCCCACCGAAGTAGCTGCATGGGCACCCAGCCAAAATAGCATTCGCCACCTCACCTTCTGCAGAAGCAGCAGTACAGATGTGTCATCCTGCCTCGGGAACAATTTGTTTATTAAAAGAGGGATCTATTTTTGAAGTGCCATACCGCTCTCCGCAACTCCCCATGTGTGGACGCTGTCACAGAACAGGTAACCTGTTCTGTCACGGCGTTCTGTTTGCCTGCTTTGCAAAAAGCCGACTTTCGCAAAGAGGTACGGTTGTAAGGGGAGATCCTGGAGCAGTGATGGTGAACCTTTCTGGCACCGAGTGCCGAAAAGATCGTGTGAAAAGGTTGCACACACACACGCACGCACGCGCACACTCATGGGGAGTTGCGCTCTGGAAAAGCCGGACTTCCAGGTTCTGGTGCATGTGGGCCAGTGGAGGGTTTCGAATTTGTTTAGAACCTCTTCTGTAGGTGTGGCCTGCTTTGTGGGAGTGGCTTGCCAGCCATGTGATCAGGTGGGAGTGCTTGGCAGCCAGGTGACTGGGTGGGCATGGGAGTTGAAGTCCATAAAGTCTTAACTCTGCCAGGATTGGACCCCCCCTAGTCTAGTGGGACCAAGAAGAAGGACCTTCCTTCCTGTGGAACATCATCTCTGCAGAGATAAACTAGTTTCCACCTTGATACTCTTTTGAAAGGTCCTCAAGACATGGATTTGCCAGCAGCAGACCTGAGAACCCCAAGGTGATATGGAGCACATCAAGTGATTTCTCTAATTGTTGTCACAGGTGGAGGTGACGATATCTTGGGTTTTTGTATTTGGATAACGTGCCAGGAGTCATCACTCCTGACCTTCAGGATGTTATCCTGAAAAGACAAATGTCCCTTTTAGCTACTGCGTGGACTTTGGTGTGGTCCAAAATCCAAAGTTTAGCTAAGTGGGAAAGCACTCAACTGCTTCGTTTGCCAATCTTCTTCTAAACGGACTCCCTTCCACTCAACGTTTCTTAATGTCCTTCAAAAGCCAGGTAGAAAATGTTCTCGGAATCGAGAGGAGCCTGTGTTCTCAGAAGCTGAATTGCCCCCAAATGGGCCAAGCCAGGAGAACAGCCAACACTGATGTTCTGAAATTTCAAACTGATTTTACCGAAATGAACAAATAACATCCAGCATGGAACTGTAACCATTAAGGGACTAAAAGGAGGGCTGGATTTGAATTGCTTGTAGACACGTAATGATTCCGAACTGATTCCCCTCTTGACTCCAACCCCTGCCTCTTCTTCTCCTTCAATCTGCCTCCTCCTCCGACCGACTTGAGTCCAGGTCCTCAAAGCAGAGAGCAGCTGCTGGGTCCACCTCAACTCTGCTTCTTAGCCTGCCTGGACAGTGGTAAAATCTAATTGTTTTCCCCCCTACCGGTTCTGTGGGTGTGGCTTGGTTGGGTTGTGTGTGTCATGTGACTGGGTGGGCATGGCTAGGTAGTCATGTGACTGGGAGGTGTCAAAAGGCAGAAACTCACTTGAACAATGTCCTGCGGGAGCAGGGGGTTGGACTAGATGACCTCCAGGTCCCTTCCAGCCCTGGATTGCTGTTCTCTTTCAAAGAATCCTTGCAAGCTGCATCTGGTGCCAGATTTGTGGTCCTTCCTCCCTCTCCTTTTTCTCTCTCCCCTCTCTCTCTTTTTCGCAGCATCCCCCCACTGCTTTTTAAAGCATTTTTCCCCCTGCCTATTCGCCCAAACCGGCGGGGAAAAAATGCTTTAAAAAGCGGGGGGAAAGCTTCCGATGATCGCGTGACTCAAAGCTGAGCTGCGCGATGCTCAGAAGCTTTTTTTTTTAACTGTTCACAGAACCAAGGACAATTGTCCCTACCGCTTCGGCCAAACTGGAGCGAACCAGGAGGATTTCAGCCCTGTGCCTGGAGAA